AAGCTAAGCAAAGCGAAGCGAAGCTAAGCGAAGAGAAGCGAAGCTAAGCGAAGCTAAGCGAAGCTAAGGGAAGAAAAGCGAAGCTAAGTGAAGCAAAGGGAAGCTAAGCGAAGCTAAGCAAAGCGAAGCGATGATAAGCAAAGAGAAGCAAGCAAAGCTAAGCGAAACTAAGCGAAGCTAAGCAAAGCGAAGCGAAGCGAAGCGAAGGTAGCGAAGCGAAGCGATGCTAAGCGAAGCCAAGCAAGCCAAGCGAAGCCAAGCGAAGCTAAGCGAAGCTAAGCGAAGCTAAGCGAAGCTAAACAAAGAGAAGCCAAGCTAAGCGAAGCGAAGCGAAGCTAAGGGAAGCAAAGCAAAGCTAAGCGAAGCGAAGGGAAGCTAAGCGAAGCTAGGCGAGGCTAAGCAAAGCAAAGCGAAGCTTAGCAAAGCAAAGCGAAGCTTAGCAAAGCAAAGCTAAGCAAAGCTAAGGGAAGCGAAGCGAAGCGAAGTTAAGAGAAGCGAAGCGAAGCTAAGACAAGCGAAGCGAAGCTAAGCGAAGTGAAGCAAAGCTAAGTGAAGCGAAACTAAGCGAAGCGAAGCTACGCGAGGCGAAGCGAAGCTAAGCTAAGCCAAGCGAAGCCAAGCGAAGCTAAGCAAAGCTAAGCAAAGAGAAGCGAAGCAAAGCTAAGCGAAGCCAAGCAAAGCAAAGTTAAGCGAAGCTAAGCGAAGCAAAGGGAAGCTAAGCGAAGCTAAGCGAAGCTAAGCGAAGCGAAGGGAAGCTAAGCGAGAAGCGAAGAGAAGCGAAACTAAGCGAAGCTAGGCAAAGCGAAGAGAAGCGAAGCTAAGCAAAGCTAAGCGAAGCTAAGCGAAGCTAAGCGAAGCTAAGCGAAGCTTAGCCAAGCAAAGCGAAGCCAAGCGAAGCGAAGCTTAGCGAGGCCAAGCGAGGCCAAGCGAAGCTAAGCGAAGCTAAGCAAATAGAAGCGAAGCTAAGCGAAGCTAGGCGAAGCTAAGGGAAGCAAAGCGAAGCTAAGTGAAGCAAAGGGAAGCTAAGCGAAGCTAAGCAAAGCCAAGCAAAGCGAAGCCAAGCGAAGCAAAGCTAAGCGAAGCTAAGCAAAACTAAGTGAAGCTAAGCAAAGCGAAGCGAAGCTAAGCGAAGCGAAGCTAAGCCAAGCTAAGCGAAGCGAAGCTAAGCGAAGCCAAGCGAAGCTAAGCGAAGCTAAGCGAAGCGAAGCAAAGCTAAGCGCAGCTAAGCAAAGCTAAGGAAAGCAAAGCGAAGCTAAGCGAAGCGAAGCTAAGCGATGCTAAGCAAAGCGAAGCGAAGCAAAGCGAGGCGAAGAGAAGCGAAGCAAAGCTAATCAAAGCTAAGCGAAGCTAAGCGAAGCAGAGCGAAGCTAATCAAATCGAAGCGAAGCTAAGCGAAGCGAAGCAAAGAGAAGCGAAGCGAAGAGAAGCGATGTGAAGCGAAGCGAAGCTTAGCAAAGCTAAGAGAAGCTAAGCGAAGCTAAGCGAAGCTAAGGGATGCGAAGCGAAGCTAAGCGAAGCGAAGGGAAGCTAACGGAAGCTAAGCGAAGCTATCAAAGAGTAGGGAAGCTAAGCAAAGCCAAGCAAAGCTAAGCGAAGCGAAGGTAAGCAATGCCAAACGAAGCCAAACAAAGCTAAGCGAAGCTAAGCGAAGCGAAGCTGTTGGTGCAACCCTATGACTTGCACTCGGCTTGTCGTCCTTGCTTGTGTGTGTGCATGCATGGCATGGAATGAATTGTGAGTCTATGTCATTGCTCTCCAGTGCTTGTGTGTGTGTTTGATTGGTGTATCACAATGTGGTTTGTGTCGGTCAAGACATTAGCGAGTTTTTACAACTGGCATGTCAAGTCGTTGTTTGCGTGTCGCATGTGTTATTTCTATTTTGTCGAGTGTGAAGTGTCCATCGTGTCGCAGGTGTGTGCAGCAAGCCCCCATCAACTCAAGAAGAATTTATCTTGCAGAACCAAGACCAAGAGCTCAAGATTTCAAGCCCAAGGGACGCGGAAAAATATTAAATAGTGAAAATAGTAACGTTACTTTGTGTAGTGTTACATTTCACTTGGTGTAGCCCCTTGGAGGGTTGGTTTCGAGACTCTTTCATGGTTGGGGACTCTGTGGTGGTGTACCACCAACCTGGACCTCAGCTCTTGGGGTATGTAGAGGCTGGGAACCATCTCCCTCTCGAACTCTTCTTGCTAAGTTTGTACTCCTAAGACTATAGTGGCTACTGTACCTCCTGCCAGTCAAACCGCCATAGCGTCGTCAAATCTTCATGGAATTTTATGATTCAACTTGCTGCTGATAGACAACAACAACGCGCTCTATATCCAACTTACAGATCACAGATTGATTCAGCGATCAGATCGTTATCATTATTTGAAGCCGTCTGACGGAAATCCGACTGTGCTCTCTATCTCTCAATATAGGCACATCTAAGCCTATTGTGACTATAACAAGTGGTATCAGAGCCCCTTGGAGCCGTCTCGACCATGCCTAGACCTGAGGAAGGGGATGGCAGAGGTGCTGGAGGCAGAGAAGACGCCCAAGCACAAGGTCAACACCAAGATCCACCCGTTGCTCCGATGCAACCTAGCCTTGGACCCTCTAGGGATGAGCCTAGAGTGTTGGCCTTGACAAGTTCAACGGTGACAACTTTGCTGAGTGGTCCTTCAAGATGGAGAACATCTTCGACCACTATGATCTGCTGGAGGTGATGGAAGGAACGGAGAAGCGCCCCGAGAACGACCCGGAGAAGAGCCCGTGGGTGCGGAAGAGCGCACAAGGCTACCTTCTACTTGGGCAAGCGTTGGGGAGCAGCCAAATCCGTCACATCAAGCATTTTCAGCGTGAACCAGCAAAGGGACCAAAGGCATGGGCTGCTCTCAAGGGTGTACACGCTCCTGCAACAGCGGCGGTGGCTGTGGTTTTGGAGCGGCAAATGGCGGCACTTCGAATTGACGAAGGCGAACCGGTGGAGGAAGGAGTGCAGAAATTCTTCGACTTGTTGACACGGCTCGAAGGAGCTGATCTGGACTACAGTGACCTTCAAAAGAAGACCAAGCTGCTGGCCTTACTTCCGGACTCATGGTCCTCGCTCATCATCAACCTTAATCGAGATCTGCCCCGTCTCTCACTCGAAGATGTGAAGCGGGAAATCTTACAAGAAGATTTCCGCCGTCGCGAATTGGCGGGTCCCGATGGTGCCGGAGTTGCAAGCATGGGCCGTGGGCACGGCCGTGGAAGGGGCAGAGGGCGAGGAGGAAGATTTGGCAGCAGTAACTTCAATGGAGGCCGTGGTAATGGAGGATATGGCAGCAACAACAACAACAATGGCTACGGGCGTGGGCGCGGTCGATTTTGTTAGAATTAAGGACGGAGTCTAGGTGAACTTAGGAACTAGAATTACTCAAAATATAAATCCGAAATTCTGGACAGAAACGTCGTCTTCACAAGAAACATGTCGACGAAAAACTAGCCGTTGGAATGTCGCGAAACTTGGATATGTTGTAGCTCTTAATCTCAGCTACCGTTCCCAATTTGAATCACGTTGATTGATGAAGTATTCGCGACGCTATGGCTTTGGACGCATTAGGGGTAAGCTGTAGGAGGAGAACTTAACTCAATCTCAAAGGTTCAATCAAAGTTCAAGAATCTCACAAGGAATTAGAGGAGCAAGAGAAAGGTTGGGATAGAAGAGAGGGATGAGAGGGAAGGTCCCAAGAGAGTCCCCAACCAAGGAAACCCCATAAGCACAAAGATTCCCTCCCTATAGGAACCCCAACTTTGACATTTGTCCCTTCCCAACCAATCCATCCAAGTTGGCCACCCTTGCCAACCTAGCTTGGTTGTTCCCAACCAATTTGCAGCTGTTACAGTAGAGTGACGAATTTCCCCAACCCCAAAGGTCCCAACTCCATATAAAGTCACCCCACAACTTCACTTTGTAACCGCCGCAATTGTAACGCAAGCTCATGAACTTTGAATCTTCATAGCTTTCGCGTTCTTGCTCCGATTGACGCGATTCTTGTTGCGTCGGAAAGATCTTCTCAAGATCTATCATCACAAATACCTGCTCAGACAGAATAACACAAAACACATTCCCAAACTCCAGAACACACACCACACAAATTCTTTCACACACAGTCAAACCATACGTGCGAATTGAAACAAGGGATGGGAGGCAGACAGAATGTGATAACATATGATGACATCACACAACAATCTCCCCCTCTGGCTGCCAACCATCAACCACCATACCAACATCTCAAGCATGCATACTCAATGCACACTCATCCCAGCAAGCTTCATGCCCTTCCAATGATCCGCCTCCGCCAGACGCTTGGTGAAAATATCTGCTGCCTGCTGATGGGTCTTCACTATCTCCAGCCGCACCTCCTTATCAAGGAGTCTCCTCACCCAGTGCCACTTAGGCCTTATGTGTTTTGTCAGCCCATGCAGACAAGCATTCTTGGCGAGCTTCACAGCAGACTCATTGTCACAGAACACAACTGTCGGCTCCTCCTGACCAACTCCCAACTCCTCCAACAAACGCCTTAGCCACACTACTTCCTTGGCCCCATGGTGTAAGGCCATGTACTCAGTCTCACATGAGGACAATCCCACCTCATTCTGCTTCTTGCTGCGCCAGCTCACAGCACCACCTCCTAGCAAGCACACATAACCCCCAATGCTGGTGCCATCCGCTTTCACTGAGTTGAAGCTAGCGTCAGTATAGCAACTCAAGAGCATCTCACCACTCTTCACATCTGCAGCACCTCTCTGCAACCGCTGCCTCACTCCACTGTACTCCAATCCCACTGATGCCGTAGCACTCACATAGCGGACCAACCTCTTGGCCGCTTCCAGCTGCTCATGACTAGGACGTGAAACCACGCTAGCCATCGTGATGTAGCAAATGCAATGTCAGGCCGTGTATGATTTGCAGCATAATTCAGCGACCCAACCATCGAATGAAACAGCTTCCTGTCACTATCACCCACTACCTCCTCATCAGCACATGGCTCCACAGTGAACCCCGAAGGTAGTGGTGTTGCTGGCTTTCCCCCATCTTGCAGCCCATACTTCTCAGCCAGCCCCTCACAGTACTTCCTCTGGTGCAACCTCAGCACACCCTTTTCCACATCTCTCTCCACATGCATCCCCAAGTAGTACTTCACCTCACCCATCTTGGAGCACTTGAACTGCATCTCCAGCATCTGCTCTGCGCTGTCCAGCAAAACAGTTGATGCAGAAAAGAGAAGGATATCATCCACATACACCAAGAGCATGAGGATTTCGTCCTTCTCCTGCAGCAGGAACAGGCTGGGGTCACACTCACTCTTCTTGAAACCCCCAGCCACCAGCGCCTCCTCCAACTTGTGATACCATGCACGAGGCGCCTGCTTAAGGCCATAGATTGCCTTCTTCAGCCTGCAGACCCTGCCGCTCCCATCATCCAGCCCCTCTGGCTGCTTCATGTACACCTCCTCCAGAATGATCCCATTCAGAAAGGCAGTCACAATGTCCATCTGCCGTATCTTCCATCCCAGGAGTGCAGCTATCGCCAACAGCACCCTCAGTGTTGTTCCTTTCCCCACAGGAGCAAATACCTCATCATAGTCCTTCCCTTTTGTCTGCTGAAACCCCCGTGCCACAAGCCTAGACTTGTATCGGGTCAGCTCCCCTTCAGGTCCATACTTGTGCCTGTAGATCATCTTGGAAGTGATTGCCTTCTTTCCAGGAGGCAAGTCACACAGGTCCCATGTCTCGTTCTCAATCAGGGACCCAAACTCCTCATCCTCACTCGCCTTCCACTTCTCCCCATTTGGTCCATTCAAGGCCTCCTCTCGAGTCTTGGGCTCAGGGATTGGTGCCCAGTAGCAGTGAGCGATCTCATCTTCCTCAATCTGCTCAACCACACTCCCAGCCTGCACCACATTCGGCTTGCCTCTTCCCCCATAGGTCAGCCTCACCGGAGGGCGCACATCCCTCCTAGGTCGCTCAGGCGGGTGTGGAACTCGAGATGGAGACTCATGCTGCTGCTGCTGCTGCTGCTCTACTTCAGCTGCTCCCCCTTCCTCAGTCACCCCAGACATCTCCTCCTCTGACACTGCAACCTCCACCTGTCTTGAAGGTGCTGCACCTCATCTGCCTCCACAATGAGCGGTGTAGATGGAAGCTTCTGTTGCTGCTGCTTCCATTCCTTGTAGTACAGGGACTCAAGAAACTTCACATCCCTTGACACTGTCAACTTCTGGGTGGTCAAGTCCCATAGCAGCCACCCCTTGTGATCCTTTGCAATCCCCAAGTGCACACCCCATCTTCCAGAAGCCTCCAACTTCCCCCTTTTCTCCTTAGGCACATGAAACACTACCATGCACCCAAATGCCCTCAGCATATTCACAGCTGGAGCACTCCCATACCACTTGACATATGGGATCCACTCCTTATCTCCAACTGTAGCCAGCACCCTGTTCTTCACAAGGGCGACCTGCCTCAGTGCAGACACCCAAAACGGATCAGGCAGCCCTGCACGCCCAAGGAGAGTGCGTGCCCCCTCCTGCAGGGTCCTGTTGAACCTCTCAGCCACGCCATTCTGCTGCGGGTTGTAGGGCACTGTCAGTTGATGTTGGATCCCCTTCCTCTTCAACTCCCCCTCAAAATCAGCTCCAATGAACTCCCCACCATTGTCACTACGGATCACCTTCACCTTGTGTCCGCATTCCCTCTGAGCTCTCGGCATCCACTCCTTAAGGACAGCCGCTGCCACCTCCCCCTTGCTGTTCAAAGGGTAAACCGACACTGCTCGAGTGTGGTCATCCACAATTGTCAAGAAATAGCGGCTGCCTGAGAGGGAAGGGGCTCTTGTGGGCCCCACCACATCCATGTGCACAAGTGCAAGTGGGGTCTTGGCTGGTCCTGTAGTGCTGTTGAAGGGGAACTTGGAGAACTTGGTCTCCAAGCATGTAGGGCAGCTCCCAATCTCCTTCACTCCCCCTTTCACCTCCAAGCCCTTCAGGCTCCCATCCTTCACCAACTTCTGCAGCATAGGGAAGTTCACATGACACAGCCTCTCATGCCATGTCTCCCAATCGGCCTCTCCACTCCTTGATGAAGCCTTAGCCCATGCCGCACTCGCATCCACACCAGCAAGCACCTCACCATGTGTCTGCTGCTGCTGCACTTTCTTGACTGCTTCCAGGACCCCATCAGTTGGTGCAGTTGCATCTCCTCCTGCTGTTGCCTTTGCCGCTGCTGCCGTTGCTGCTGTTGGAGTCTTCCCATTCCAAGGGATGATGGGCAGCTGCCACAGGTCCTTGATGCAGCTGGTCTCCTCTTCCAGACTCCACAGCACCTTCTTCCCAAGCTTAGCACGGCAGCTGGTTGGTCCAAAGGTCACTTCGGCCTTGCTCTTCTGCAGTCGTCGCAAAGAGAGAAGGTTAGCAGACAAGCCTTCAACCAGCAGAACATTCCCAAGCCCCACAAGCTCCCCATTAGCTCCCTTAACCTTGGCATTTCCAATACCAATCACGGGGAGCAAAGCACCTGACGCTGCTGCCACATACTTGATCTTCCCAGGGGGTTTTACCTCATCAAGCAAATCTGCCCGTGGGGTCATGTGACTGGTGCAACCTGAATCAATCACCCAGTGCGTGAGAGGGTGCATCACAACCTTTCCCACAGATCCCACATCACCCTCATGCCCATGCACATCCTCAACCATGAGATACATCCCAGGATAGGCGTTACCTTGTGCACCTTCACCTTGTGCACCTGAGCCTTGCACAGCGCCACCTTGTGCGCGTTCACCACTTGGCGGCTTCATGCCTGGAGGTGCCCATCCCTCCGGCCTGCTGAAGTACTTGAACCAAGGATGCCCGACCTTCTTGCAGTACCAGCAGGTGCCCTCCATTCTGGTACTCCCCCTGCCACTGGAGCTCCCATGCCCCTCATTATAGTCACCTCGGCCTCTACCTCTGCCAAAGCTTCTCCCACGGCCTCGGCCTCTCCAACCCCCTCTTCCTCTGCCGCGCCCTGCAGCTCCATACCCCTCAGCAGTCTTAGTGGCAGCACCGCCTCCCACATGGCGTCTGCGGAAGTCCTCCTGCAGAATCTGCTGCCTTAGCCACTCAGGTGTCCATTGATCTTGCTGAGAGTTGAGGGTGGGGATGAGGTTGTCCCAAGAGTTGTCCAACACCGAGATGATCTTGGTGCACTGCTGCAGCTGAGATACACCGCTGCCCGCTGCTGCCATCCTTGCATAGGTGTCCTTGATCTTGTCAAGGACCAGCTTCACATCGTCCCCTGGTCGCATGGAGATGGCAGCAAGTTCCTTCTTGAGCACGATCACCATCAGGAGAGTGCTGGGCTGAAACACATCGCGTAGTAGTTTCCATGCCCTTGGACCCGAATCATCCGCTTCCACAAGATCCTTGATGTGCTCGAACATCTCCTTGTTGACCGATTGAAGGATGAGGTCGAAAAGCACCGCGTTTTTCTCAATCCACCGTTCACGTGCTTCGCCTTCTTCCGGCATCTTCTCTTCCCCAACAGCAATCTTCAGTAGCTTGTAGCGTTTGAAGGCACTCCTCATCCGTCCGCTCCATTCCTCATAGTTGGAGCCATCCAAAGCTTCAACTTTTGATGGCGGCGGCTCACTTGCCTTCTCAGGTACAGCTCCTCTTCCATTAGCATCTCCTCCTCTCTCATTCATCTTCTCCTTGAGAAATGACGAATTTCAGCCCCCCTTTGCTGTCCACACTCAGCTTCCTCGATATTTTCACAAGTATCGGCGTCCACGAAATTTCGGCAGAGTTTCCCTTAGCGGAAGACACATCCAACCTTTAGAACACCACTTAGGCACACCCACAGGCCATGGTGGGTCTAGAAGGGTCTTCACACTTCTGTAGACTCCTCTCAATGTCCTTAATATTGCTCTGATACCACTTGTTAGAATTAAGGACGGAGTCTAGGTGAACTTAGGAACTAGAATTACTCAAAATATAAATCCGAAATTCTGGACAGAAACGTCGTCTTCACAAGAAACAATGTCGACGAAAAACTAGCCGTTGGAATGTCGCGAAACTTGGATATGTTGTAGCTCTTAATCTCAGCTACCGTTCCCAATTTGAATCACGTTGATTGATGAAGTATTCGCGACGCTATGGCTTTGGACGCATTAGGGGGTAAGCTGTAGGAGGAGAACTTAACTCAATCTCAAAGGTTCAATCAAAGTTCAAGAATCTCACAAGGAATTAGAGGAGCAAGAGAAAGGTTGGGATAGAAGAGAGGGATGAGAGGGAAGGTCCCAAGAGAGTCCCCAACCAAGGAAACCCCATAAGCACAAAGATTCCCCTCCCTATAGGAACCCCAACTTTGACATTTGTCCCTTCCCAACCAATCCATCCAAGTTGGCCACCCTTGCCAACCTAGCTTGGTTGTTCCCAACCAATTTGCAGCTGTTACAGTAGAGTGACGAATTTCCCCAACCCCAAAGGTCCCAACTCCATATAAAGTCACCCCACAACTTCACTTTGTAACCGCCGCAATTGTAACGCAAGCTCATGAACTTTGAATCTTCATAGCTTTCGCGTTCTTGCTCCGATTGACGCGATTCTTGTTGCGTCGGAAAGATCTTCTCAAGATCTATCATCACAAATACCTGCTCAGACAGAATAACACAAAACACATTCCCAAACTCCAGAACACACACCACACAAATTCTTTCACACACAGTCAAACCATACGTGCGAATTGAAACAAGGGATGGGAGGCAGACAGAATGTGATAACATATGATGACATCACACAACAGATTTGATGGCGAATGCCACTTTTGCCACAAGACCGGCCACATGTGGAGAGATTGCTTCAGATTGCCTGATGGATGGACCCCTTCTCAAGGCCAAGAGGGCAGAGGAGCAAGGGGAGGAAGAGGCAGAGGTCGTGGAGGCCGTGGTGGTCGTGGAAGCGAAGCGGCAAGCATGAAAGGTGGAGACTACGACAAGGACTCGAGTGAAGATCGATACCCGGGCCAATTCTTCTGTGTCTCCACGCAAGCGGCAGCTGCAGCAGGAGGTGTGGAAGGCTTTGAGGAGCCAGCTACTGTGGGAAAGGTCACCCTTCACTCTCTGGACTTTTGGGTGATCGATAGTGGCGCCACCTATAGCATGACACCTCGTGCGGACTTGCTCACCGAACTCGAACCGTCGCCGGTCAAGCATGTTACATCGGCTTTGGGGCAGCGAGCAGAGGTGAAAGGCATGGGCAAGGCCATGTTCAAGGGTGCTGATGGGAAGATGGTGGGCCTCAAGAACGTGCTTTTGGTGCCCAACCTAGCAGCCAACCTGATTTCCGTTCGGCGTTTGCAAAAGGCCGGCATGGACACATCTTCCAAGGGATCCAAAACCTATACCGCAAGGCTTGGTGAGCGGAAGCTTTGGGACCTTCATGAGGACAGGGACATCTACAATGAGATGTGGAAAATCCCAGTGGTCCCCATGCCTAAAGAGAGGCAAGTGGCAGCAAGCGTCAGCACCAAGCGTGAAGCGGTTGGTGGCGGTGATCACGGAAAGCAAAGTGACACCAAGAGTGACTCGAAGGAGTGCAACCTTGGAGAGACCAGCAAGGCGTGTGAACCCAAGGAGAATGGTGCAGCAGCCAAAGGTGGTGGAAATGAGGAGGAGAAGGCTAAGATCAACAAAGCAGCAGCGGCGAAGGAGAAAGGAGAGAGCTTGTGGGGCACAATTGCGAGTGCCGCTTTCTCCAACCCGACTTCCGCTACGGGAGAGTGTGATTGGCTGACCTTGCATCGGCGAATGGGGCATGTGGCATTGCCCATTTTGCAGCAGATTGTTAAGCAAGAGATGGTCAGTGGGATACGTGTCAAGGGGAGCCCAATGAGGTGCTTGGCTGTCCAACATGCATGCAAGCCAAGTTCACCCGCTACCCGTTCCATAGCTCGGAGACAACGGCGAAGGCACCACTTGATGAGGTGGTGATGGATGTGGTGGGCCCCTTGAAGCTTGGAGCTGCTGGAGCAGAGTACTTCCTCACCATTGTGGACGTCTACACTCGCATGACTTGGGTGTATGTACTGCCCAAGAAGAGTGACGTAGCTGAAACGGTGAAGACCGATTGGTTGCCGATGGTGGAGCGGCAACAAGACCGACTTGTGAAGGCGATTCGCACTGACCGTGGGGGAGAGTTCCTGAGCAAGGATTTCTCAACTTGGCTGAAGAATCAGGGCATAAGACACTCTCTTACCATGCCCTACTCTCCTGCAATGAACGGCATCGCCGAGCGTGCGAATCGGACACTCACGGAGACGGCTCGGGGACTTCTCATTGAAGCCGGTCTACCCAATTACTTTGGCCGGATGCGGTGCGGCATGCTTGTGTGGCCAAGAACAGAGCCTTGACTCATGTGGGAGAAGACAAATGGGTGCCCTATGTGGAGTGGATTGGAAGGAAGCTGAAGGTGGATATGCTTCGGGTGTTCGGGTGCATGTGCATGGCACTTGTGCCTAAGAAACTTCGGCACAACAAGCTTGATGCCAAGGCAACATGGGCCGTGCACCTGGGCATGGCTCAAAACAGCAAGGGATGGCTTCTTTGGGACCCATTTACCAAGAAGTTCCTGGTGAGCAGAGATTGCAAGTTCATGGAGAACTTACCGTACAAGGAGTGGAAGGCGGAGAACCAAGCGAAGATTGGTGTGCGGCTTGGAGAGGTGAAGAGTACCGGCTTGGAGCATGTGGAGCTGCCCTTGGAGCTGAGTAGCAGCAGCACTATCACAAGGCAATCTCCTCAAATGAATGGGGGAGAAGAGGAGGAGGAGGTGCAGCAAGGTGATGAGCGTGCACCGTCACTTCCGCCTCGTGCTACAAGTGCTCGAGGAAACCGACCAGATTTGCCGCAACGCCATGAGAGCATTCAAGTCCCTGCAGCAGAGGAGGAAGGAAGGGGGAGAAGGAGGACTCAGCCCCCCAATAGGTTGAGCTATGAACGGCTTGGAGGACCAGCCAACTCAACCTTGACCGGTTCGGCTCTCATGCTAGGTGATGATGCGGAAGATGAAAGCGAGGAGTGCGCTTTTGCCTTCTTCTCTCCGGTGGAGATACCGGGGGAGCCTACAAATCCCAAGGAGGCTTGGGAGGGCCCCAATGGGAAGGAGTGGAAGAAGGCCTCAGATGAAGAAATGGGGAGCATCATCGAGAACAACACGTTTGACTTGGTGAACCTACCTCCGGGGCGTAAGGCGATTTCTTCCAAGTGGCTCTTCAAGCGCAAGACCGACGCCGACGGCAATATTGAGCGCTACAAGAGCAGACTTGTAGCCAAGGGGTATCAGCAGCAAGAGAAGAAGGACTACAATGAAGTGTATGCCCCTGTGGTGAAGGGTACAACCCTTCGAACCCTCTTCGCCGCGGCGGCCATCAAGGGATGGGTGGTGAAGCAAATGGATATAGTAACGGCCTTCCTCAATGGCGTTTTGGAGGAAGAGACCTACATGGAGCAGCCAGAGGGGTACAATGATGGGAGTGGCAGAGTGTGGAAGCTGAAGAAAGCACTCTATGGCCTCAAGCAAGCCCCTAGGCAATGGTACATCAAGCTGCGGGAAGTCTTGGAGGCGATCGGCTTCACTCCCTCAACGGCCGATCAATCCTTGTTCATGCTTGGCGAGGGGGAGCAGAGGAGCTTCATGGTGGTTTATGTGGATGACATCCTCATATTCTCACCCTCCTCTGACCTTGTGAAGGAGGTGATGCTGAAGCTTCAAGACAAGTTCAAGTGCAAGACCCTTGGTGACGTCAACTACTACCTTGGGCTTCACATTGAGCGAGATGTGGAGAAGCGGTGGATGCGAGTGCATCAAAAGAAGTACTTGGAGGCCTTGGCTGCAAACTTTGGGAAGAGTGAAGGTCATGTGGCTACTCCTCTTACCTCAGGGTTCAAGTGTGTGAAAGGACCAGCGGAGGAAAGTGTTGGTGAAGAGGAGAGGCGCCGTTTTCACTCCTTGGTGGGCAGCCTCATGTATGCGGCCATTCACACAAGGCCGGATGCAGCCTTTTCTACCGGGCAGCTGGCTAGGGTTGTCCAATGCCCTAATGAGGAGCAGGTAGCAGCTGGAGAGAGGGTGGCCAAGTACCTTGGCCAAACAGCAACTGTTGGACTGCAATACTCCGCGGCGGCACAAAGACGTCAAAAGGGTGCGGATGGAGTCGAACCCGGGAGGCTCTTTCTCACCGCCTTCTCTGATGCATCTTGGGCATCAGAACCAGAGGACATGACAAGTGTGGGAGGTTTCATCTGCTGTGTTGGTGGAGGGCCAACAGCTTGGGAGAGCAAGAAGCAAGTGGACCAAGCATTGAGCTCGGTGGAGTCCGAGTACATGGCACTCTTCCGTGCCATAAGAGAGGTTGTGTGGCAGCGGCGTTTGCTAGCTGAATTGGGGGAGGAGCAGCAAGGACCTACCCCACTCTATTGTGATAGCCAGGGTGCTATTGCATTGGCTAAGAACCCGGTTCTTCATGGCCTTACCAAGCACATGAAGGTGAAGTGGCATTGGGTGAGGAGCATGGTAACCGCGGCTGAAGTGGAGTTGCACTACGTGAAGACGACGGCGCAGCCTGCTGATATGATGACCAAGAGGCTGGTTGAGCAGCAGCATTGGAAGTGTTGCAAGCTTGCTGGGATGGCTCTGAACTAAGGGGAGCAGATTCTAAGGCCAACAATCCGAGGGGGAGTTTGTTGGTGCAACCCTATGGCTTGCACTCGGCTTGTCGTCCTTGCTTGTGTGTGTGCATGCATGGCATGGAATGAATTGTGAGTCTATGTCATTGCTATCCAGTGCTTGTGTGTGTGTTTGAATGGTGTATCACAATGTGGTTTGTGTCGGTCAAGACATTAGCGAGTTTTTACAACTGGCATGTCAAGTCGTCGTTTGCGTGTCGCATGTGTTATTTCTATTTTGTCGAGTGTGAAGTGTCCATCGTGTCGCAGGTGTGTGCAGCAAGCCCCCATCAACTCAAGAAGAATTTATCTTGCAGAACCAAGACCAAGAGCTCAAGATTTCAAGCCCAAGGGACGCGGATAAATATTAAATAGTGAAAATAGTAACGTTACTTCGTGTAGTGTTACATTTCACTTGGTGTAGCCCCTTGGAGGGTTGGTTTCGAGACTCTTCATGGTTGGGGACTCTGTGGTGGTGTACCACCAACCTGGAACTCGGCTCTTGGGGTATGTAGAGGCTGGGAACCATCTCCCTCTCGAACTCTTCTTGCTAAGTTTGTAGTCCTAAGACTATAGTGGCTACTGTACCTCCTGCCAGTCAAACCGCCATAGTGTCGTCAAATCTTCATGGAATTTTATGATTCAACTTGCTGCTGATAGACGACAACAACACGCTCTAGATCCAACTTACAGATCACAGATTGATTCAGCGACCAGATCGTTATCAATATTTGAAGCCGTCTGACGGAAATCCGACTGTGCTCTCTATCTCTCCATATAGGCACATCTAAGCCTATTGTGACTATAACAGAAGCGAAGCTAAGCGAAGCGAAGCTTAGCGAAGCGAAGCAAAATGAAGCGAAGAGAAGCGAAACGAAGCTAAGGGAAGCGAAGCTAAGTGAAGCGAAGCAAAGCGAAGCTAAGAGAAGCGAAGCGAAGCTATGCAAAGCGAAGCGAAGCAGAGCGAAGCTAAGAAAAGCTAGGCAAAGCTAAGCGAAGCGAAGCTCAGCTCAGCGAAGCAAAGCCAAGTTACGCTAAGCGAAGCCAAGCTTTGCTAAGCAAAGCGTAGCTAAGTGAAGCGAAGCAAAGCTTAGTGAAGCGAAGCGAAGATAAGCGAAGCGAAACCAAGCGAACCAAAGCAAAGCGAAGCGAAGCTATGCGAAGCGAAGCTAAGCGAAGCGAAGCGAAGATAAGCGAAGCCAAGCGAAGCCAAGCAAAGCTAAGGGAAGCGAAGCAAAGCTAAGCGAAGCGAATTTAAGAGAAGCGAAGCTAAGCAAAGCGAAGCTAAGAGAAGCGAAGCGAAGCTAAGCGAAGCGAAGCTAAGCAAAGTTAAGAGAAGCAAAGCGAAGCCAAGCGAAGCGAAGCTAAGCGAAGTGAAGCGAAGCTAAGCGAGGCCAAGCGAAGCCAAGCGAAGCTAAGCGAAGCTAGGCAAAGCTAAGCAAAAGGAAGCGAAGCTAAGCGAAGCTAAGGGAAGCAAAGCGAAGCTAAGCGAAGCAAAGGGAAGCTAAGCGAAGCTAAGCGAAGCGAAGCGAAGCGAAGATAAGCAAAACTAAGCGAAGCTAAGCAAAGCGAAGCGAAGCTAAGCGAAGCCAAGCGAAGCTGAGCGAAGCCAAGCAAAGCTGAGCGAAGCAAAGCAAAGCTAAGCGAAGCTAAGCAAAGCTAAGAGAAGCTAAGCGAAGCCAAGCGAAGCGAAGCTAAGCGAAGCGAAGCTAAGCGAAGTGAAGCTAAGCGATGCTAAGCAAAGCGAAGCGAAGCGAAGCTTATCAAGGCGAAGCGAAGCGAAGCGAAGCGAAGAGAAGCGAAGAGAAGCGAAGCGAAGCGAAGAGAAGCGAAGTGAAGCGTAGCGAAGCTTAGCAAAAGCTAAGAGAAGCTAAGCAAAGCTAAGCAAAGCTAAGGATGCAAAGCAAAGCTAAGCGAAGGGAAGCTAAGCGAAGCTAAGCAAAGCGAAGCAAAGCCAAGCAAAGCTAAGCGAAGCGAAGGTAAGCAATGTGAAGCGAAGCCAAGCAAAGCTAAGCCAAGCGAAGCCAAGCGAGGCTAAGCGAAGCAAAGAGAAGCGAAGAGAAGTGAAGCGAAGCTAATTGAAGGGAAGCAAAGCTAAGTGAAGCGAACCAAAGCGAAGAGAAGCGAAGCTAAGAGAAGCGAAGCGAAGCTAAGCAAAGCTAAGCGAAGCGAAGCGAAGGTAAGCCAAGCAAAGCGAATCGAATCGAATCTAAGCGATGCGAAGCGAAGATAAGCAAAGCGAAGCGAAGCTAAGCGAAGCTATGCAAAGCGAAGCGAAGCTAAGCGAAGAGAAGCTAATGTTGGTGCAACCCTATGGCTTGCACTCGGCTTGTCGTCCTTGCTTGTGTGTGTGCATGCATGGCATGGAATGAATTGTGAGTCTATGTCATTGCTATCCGGTGCTTGTGTGTGTGTTTGAATGGTGTATCACAATGTGGTTTGTGTCGGTCAAGACATTAGCGAGTTTTTACAACTCGCATGTGAAGTCGTCGTTTGTGTGTCGCATGTGTTTTTTCTATTTTGTCGAGTGTGAAGTGTCCATCGTGTCGCAGGTGTGTGCAGCAAGCCCCCATCAACTCAAGAAGAAATTATCTTGCAGATCCAAGAACAAGAGCTCAAGATTTCAAGCCCAAGGGACGCGGATAAATATTAAATAGTGAAAATAGTAACGTTACTTCGTGTAGTGTTACATTTCACTTGGTGTAGCCCCTTGGAGGGTTGGTTTCGAGACTCTTCATGGTTGGGGACTCTGTGGTGGTGTACCACCAACCTGGACCTCGGCTCTTGGGGTATGTAGAGGCTGGGAACCATCTCCCTCTCGAACTCTTGTTGCTAAGTTTGTACTCCTAAGACTATAGTGGCTACTGTACCTCCTGCCAGTCAAACCGCCATAGCGTCGTCAAATCTTCATGGAATTTTATGATTCAACTTGCTGCTGATAGACAACAACAACGCGCTCTATATCCAACCTACAGATCATAGATTGATTCAGCGATCAGATCGTTATCATTATTTGAAGCCGTCTGACGGAAATCCGACTGTGCTCTCTATCTCTCAATATAGGCACATCTAAGCCTATTGTGACTATAACAAGTGGTATCAGAGCCCCTTGGAGCCGTCTCGACCATGCCTAGACCTGAGGAAGGGGATGGCAGAGGTGCTGGAGGCAGAGAAGACGCCCAAGCACAAGGTCAACACCAAGATCCACCCGTTGCTCCGATGCAACCTAGCCTTGGACCCTCTAGGGATGAGCCTAGAGTGTTTGGCCTTGACAAGTTCAACGGTGACAACTTTGCTGAGTGGTCCTTCAAGATGGAGAACATCTTCGACCACTATGATCTGCTGGAGGTGATGGAAGGAACGGAGAAGCGCCCCGAGAACGACCCGGAGAAGAGCCCGTGGGTGCGGAAGAGCGCACAAGGCTACCTTCTACTTGGGCAAGCGTTGGGGAGCAGCCAAATCCGTCACATCAAGCATTTTCAGCGTGAACCAGCAAAGGGACCAAAGGCATGGGCTGCTCTCAAGGGTGTACACGCTCCTGCAACAGCGGCGGTGGCTGTGGTTTTGGAGCGGCAAATGGCGGCACTTCGAATTGACGAAGGCGAACCGGTGGAGGAAGGAGTGCAGAAATTCTTCGACTTGTTGACACGGCTCGAAGGAGCCGATCTGGACTACAGTGACCTTCAAAAGAAGACCAAGCTGCTGGCCTTACTTCCGGACTCATGGTCCTCGCTCATCATCAACCTTAATCGAGATCTGCCCCGTCTCTCACTCGAAGATGTGAAGCGGGAAATCTTACAAGAAGATTTCCGCCGTCGCGAATTGGCGGGTCCCGATGGTGCCGGAGTTGCAAGCATGGGCCGTGGGCACGGCCGTGGAAGGGGCAGAGGGCGAGGAGGAAGATTTGGTGTAACGTTACTTCGTGTAGTGTTACATTTCACTTGGTGTAGCCCCTTGGAGGGTTGGTTTCGAGACTCTTCATGGTTGGGGACTCTGTGGTGGTGTACCACCAACCTGGACCTCGGCTCTTGGGGTATGTAGAGGCTGGGAACTATCTCCCTCTCGAACTCTTCTTGCTAAGTTTGTACTTCCAAGCCTATAGTGGCTGCTATACCTCCTGCCAGTCAAACCGCCATAGCGTCGTCAAATCTTCATGGAATTTCATGATTCAACTTGCTGCTGATAGACGACAGCCACGCGCTCTAGATCCAACTTACAGATCACCGTTTCATTCAGCGACCAGATAGCTATCAATATTTGAAGCCGTCTAACGGAAATCCGACTGTGCTCTCTATCTCTCATTATAGGCACATCTAAGCCTATTGTGATTATAACAGCTAAGGGAAGCGAAGCGAAGCGAAGCTAAGGGAAGCAAAGCGAAGCTAAGCGAAGCTAAGAGAAGTGAATCGAAGCTAAGCGAAGCTAAGCGAAGCTAAGCGAAGCTAAGGGAAGCAAAGCGAAGCTATGCGAAGCTAAGAGAAGCGAAGCGAAGCTAAGCGAAGCGGAGCGAAGCTAAGGGAAGCAAAGCGATGCTTAGCGAAGCGAAGCAAAGCAAAGGCAAGCTAAGCGAAGCGAATCAAAACTAAGCGAACCTAATCGGAGCGAAGCAAAGCTAAGGGAAGCAAAGCGAAGCTAAGCAAAGCTAAGCGAAGCGAAGGGAAGCTAAGCGAAGCTAAGCAAAGCTAAGCAAAGCTAAGTGAAGTGAAGCGTAGCTAAGCGAAGCCAAGCGAAGCTAGGCGAAGCAAAGAGAAGCTAAGAGAAGTGAAGCGAAGCTAAGGGAAGGGAAGCTAAGCAAAGCGAATCGAAGTTACGCACAGCAAAGAGAAGCGAAGCGAAGTTAAGCGAAGCGAAAAATAGCTAAGCGAAGCTGAGCGAAGCTAAGCAAAGCAAAGTGAGGCTAAGCGAAGCAAAGCGACGCGAAGGGAAGCTAAGCAAAGCGAAGTGAAGCGAAGAGAAGCAAAGCGAAGCTAAGCGAACCGAAGCGAAGCTAAGCGAAGCTAAGAGAAGCAAAGCGAAGCGAAGCGAAGCGAAGCGAAGTTAAGAGAAGTGAAGAGAAGCGAAGCGAAGCTAAGAGAAGCGATGCGAAGCAAAGCTAATGGAAGCGAAGCAAAGCTAAGCAAAGCTAAGGGAAGCGAAGCGAAGCTAAGCGAAGCTAAGCAAATCTAAGCAAAGCTAAGCGAAGGGAAGCAAAGCTAAGCGAAGGGAAGGTAAGTGAATCGAAGCGAAGCTAAGCGAAACTAAGCGAAGCTAAGCAAAGCGAAGCGAAGCTAAGCGATGCGAAGCCAAGCGAAGCCAAGCAAAGCCAAGCAAAGCCAAGCGAAGCTAAGCGAAGCTAAGCAAAGAGAAGCGAAGCTAAGCGAAGCGAAGTGAACCTAAGCGAAGCGAAGCAAAGAGAAGCGAAGAGTTGCGAAGCGAAGCTAAGCAAAGCGAAGCGAAGCTAAGTGAAGCCAAGCGAAGCTAAGTGAAGCCAAGCGAAGCTAAGCAAAGCCAACTGAAGCTAAGCAAAGAGAAGCGAAGCTAAGCGAAGCGAAGGGAAGCTAAGCGAAGAGAAGCGAAGAGAAGCAAAGCGAAGCTAAGC